TAACCAAGGACAAAAAGATAACAAAATTTTGCACAAGATTAAAATGTACTGCATTTGTTATTTAAAAATACAATCTCATTAAATAGAGTGATAAAGATGACAAGAAAATACACCAAAATATTAATGATGGTTCTCCTTTAGTTGTAAAATTTTATTAATTTTTACTTTTACTCTAAATTTTCTATAAATGTGAGACAAAAATAAGTATTGTTATTTCATAATTACATAATTGATTTTTTTTATTTTTACTCTAAATTTTCTGTAAATTTGAGACAAAATAAGTATGTGTTATTTCATAATTACAAAAATTTTGAATATAGATACTTAGGACAACTACAACTTTCACTGAAGATAACTGAACCTATAAAAGGTCCAGAATTTCTGGGTGAGGTTTCTAATTAGCCCTACTTTTAGTATTTCCATCCTCCAGGGAGTCAAGGTAACCATAGGTGGGGTAACATTGTACTAACAAAACAGAGTTCACTGGATGCTGGTGGAATAATGGGTACTTCTGGGACTAGGATACTTGTAGACAATCCCATAAGCTTCCATTGTAGATTCTCTGGCAATCTCTGGATAATATGAATTTAGACATTACTCCTATTGAGCGCTTAGAACTCCAATTCACCATGGCCTTTAAGGGGTTATGCTCAGCCTTCATTACAAAGTAGTTAATCCCAGAAATGGGTTTCTTCTGAATGTCCATGTTTACCACTTTCACCTAGGAAGGCTGGATTTAGTCCTTGTAAGCAGTCAGGTATTGATAGATGCCTCATTAATCCAGCATGGCATACTCATATCCTTCCAGGATCCCATGAAGTATCACACAGGTACACATACACTCATGCCCATCTATCTAGGTATGGAATTTATTTGCCACAAAGAGGAATGTCCTCTCCCCATCCAAGTGCAAGTGTTCAGGTGCACACACACACACACACGCACACACACATGCACACACACACACACACGCACACACACATGCACACACACACACACATGCACATACCAACACAACCACACACACACACACATAATGGCTCTGTCTTCCTTAGATGTAGTATTTGATCAACTAGTGGCTCAACAGTTAGCAGCCACCTATCTCACCGACTTTATTTTCTCTAGCTAATATGTCATATCCTACTTTCCAGGAAGTTAATGTATCACCTTCATGGAAGAGGTTCTTACCTCTATTAGTTGCTAGCTAATTATAATAATTTTATAATTCTTGATGTGGAAGATGCCCCTCACTGTATATAAGTGATTGTACATTATTGGTGAAATTCCAGAAGTCATGTGCCCTATTTTTACAAATGCCATAGTAATCTCAGTGATTATGCCAGATAAGTTAGTTATAAAATTTTGAAATATCTTGGGGGGGAATTATTTGACTTTTCCAATTTATTGGCTAAAAATCTGTTGCAGAGTCGTTCTGAAATATACACTTTTGTTTCATTTGCATACAGAACACACATTGCAGCATTTAAAACAATAGCCTACACTTACCTGCTTGTGCCACTAGGTGGTGCACACATATGTTAGTGAACTGCAAGTTAAATGAGTTTGTCAAGGGGTTAGATTTAATTCATCAGCACAGGAGTGGTACAGATAGTGGAAGCTGTAGAAGTCCTGGAGAGATGGTGATACTGTAGGCAAGAGTAAAGAAAGAAAGCAGCCAGCCACACAATCTATCCAGAGAACATGGATAGATTGTGTGGCTGGCTGCAGAAATGGCAGGAGCAAAACCGAAAGGCAAGAGACCACAAAGATATGCCCAAGGAAAAGTCTTAGAGGGAGGAACGTGCCTACATTCCATGCTGATTTGTTCCTACTTAACAGGATCATTGCAGAGGGAATAACAGAATACTTAAATCATTTAAGCTATATAACGTCAAACATTTCTTTAAGGCCTTTGTTCTGAGCACTGGAGGCATAGAGATGAAATGAAATAAATTACTGTCATCAAGTAAAAACCTAGTAAGAAAGGCAGACAAGAAGATAGACAATTAAGACCGAGCAGAATACAAAAGATGGGTTTTACAAGATCCACTGGAAGAACAAAGTATGAAATACTCATTCTTCTCTGAGGAAGGGAAAGAAGAGAGTAAGGTTGGAGTTGGTACACAAAGTAGACTTCACTTGACAGTGAGGGGGGCCTCAGGGCAGAACAGCATAAGCAAAGGCATTGAGGCTTAAAGGATGTTGTGGATTTGGGGATTAGTTCAGTTGAGCTTAGCAAATACTCACTGAAAGCTACCCAGTAAACAGGGATATGTGATTGAGAAGGCCCCCAAAGGTCACAAAGACTGATGTAACAAAGGTGAATAATAAATTTCCTGGCCTCTTAAGATGCTCCTTGTGTAGTGAGAAAGACTCACATAACACAGAAAATTGCAATGAGAGAGTACAGCTTAAATGTGGTCCTTTTAAATTCTGCTTCTATTCTTAGAACCCCAGTGGTCTAGCCCCAGGGGTTCTCAGAGGACTCTACACCAGAAGAGGGAGCTCACAAGCACACTAGCTGGTTGCATCATTTGATTCTGAGTCTCTAATGGTATTTCAGCTTCACTTGCCCATTTTAGAGTTGTGAAGTTTAAGACCAGATACAGGCAGCAAGTTGTACAAAGAAACCAGGACACATGCCCAGGTGTTCTGACTCCTGCCATATTTTCTTCCTGTTTTTTGTTTTTTAATACTGGACCCTGGGCACAGTCGACATTTAATAACAGTTCTTGACTGACACTTTTAAGACAAATTAACCTCCTTTACCAACTGTGATCATCAGAAAGTTAAGCCTGTGGAAAAAGAAGGACACAGTATCCCTCTTGCATGAGGAAAGTGACAAGCAACACAGGTTGACCTTGGCAAAGATAGCTTGAGCCACTTTTCCCACTGCTCTGGTTCTGTTTTGGAGGGGAGGCTGTCTGGCTGCAGCATTCCTTCTAACCAGTACATATGTGTTTCATTTCAGCTGGAGAATTTGTGCTCACTGAATAGATCAGTGATATCTCGGAATTACATGTTTGCTTGAAAATGTCAACTAGAATGAGTTATGAGCTGTAAGGAAAACAGGGTTGTGTGCTTTAGAAAGCCCCAAAAGGATGCAGGCCTGCTTTCAGAAGGTCCATGAGAAGTCAGAAGAAAAGAGTAGAGAGATCTTAAAGAGGTTTCCGCTGGAACAAGTCAAAGTTGAATGGAGAAGGAGGGTGACCCAAAGTCAGGAGACTTGAGACCAGGTTCCATGAGAAAAAGAGAGATTCAGGGAATATTAAGCCTGGAGAGACAAGATACAGATCACCTCCAGACCTCCAAGCTATTGCCATGGGAAACAGTGATGTCATCAGGAAGCAGTGCTTCACCCTGTTCTAACCAATAACAAGTAGTGAATTTCTATCAAGAAAAGGAATGAAACAAAAATAGTCTGTATAATTGTTGGGGATTTTGCAGAGGGGACTCCTTCCCTGGAGGCAGGTCCAAGTCAATGACCTCTGAGCTCTAAGTATCCATAATTCTATGAAAAGCAAAGAGGCATCTTATAGAAACGAAGGGTCAGATGTTCTGTAAGAGTAACAAAATCAATAGTAAGTAGATTTTCTTTATTGAGAACCCATTAAGTGTCAGACATAATGCTAGATGATTTATGTGCATTGTCATATCTTGGATTTCAGTGATAGTATTAGAGCTAACTGAATTCTTATTCTGGCCCTTCCATTTAATGAAGGTGTGGTCTTGGCCAAGTAATTTCTCTTCCCTGAATGCCATGTCCTTCCTCTGTACAATACTTACCCTGTAGAATTGTCAAGTGTCTGAAAAGAAATGTTATATCAAAATACCTATTTATGTGGCCTTTAGTTGGTTCTCAAAAAAAAATGTTGCTGCCTTCCTTTTTTGCTTAAGTTGAATTTCAGGAAACTATTCTAGGAGAAAGGCAAGATAAAGAGGGAAATGGTGTTAAGGTAAGATGTGTAGTAAGGCAACCACTGGATGAAATACCTAGTGATCCAAAGCTCCTGCAATTTGAAGCCTAGATTAGTGGTTCTCAAAGTGGAGTTTGTTTGGATGCTTTTAAGAAAAGAAAAAAATGTAGATTTTTCATTACTATTTATGAAATATCAAGTTTAGGAAAGAGAAACAGGTCAGCATGAAGACTGCAGCTTAAAAAGTCCTGAATAGAGTCTTCAAAGGATCTACTCACCACTGCCCCATCAGGAGCCTCCTATACCCACTTCTTTGCACTCAGGCTCTCATGACATCTATCACAGAGCTTCACAGTAGGTGTACTGTGACAGAGAACAAGCCTTCTGAGATATCGATCACCTCAACCCTTGAAGTAACCAAGGCCAGTTGCCTCCAAACAAAAGCAGCATCATGCATATGGCCTAGTGTGCTCCACCAATATTAATTTGTATGATGTTGTATGTACAAAGTGATGAGGATTCAGTTAGAAAAGGAATGAGCATATCACCATTAATTGAAATTGTTATAGCATTGTTGAGCAATAAACCAGCCCAGAAGTATCTTGGTTAGAAAGTATTTATAAATGGTAAAAATAACACCACCACCCAAGGCAAGGAGTATTTCCAGTTTATCAAACACTTAAGCAATGCAACTAGTGTGAGCAAGAGAACTCTGAGTTTGCCTGATACAGAGGAGTGAGCTTGAGCTAGGAGACTGAATAGAACCATTTTTGTGGCCCTTAAATAAGCCACATTTCTCTCAGATCTCGTTTTTTCTTTAATATAGTACAGGTTTGACTGGGAGACCTTTAAGGCCCTCTCAGCTCTGACCATCTATGCTTCCAAGGACAGGTAAAAGGCCATCCCTTCCCCCTTGACTCTAGGATGCAAGGCTGCTGGTCAGATTTATGCATTAGCACCATGTGTGCAAAATTGACACTGCCCTGTGTGTCCAGATATGTTTTGTACATCCTCCCTGAATTTCTATGCACAAGTTTGGCTCTGGCTCAAATCAGTACTCTTACAATGTCTTTTCTTTTACAGCAACAGCGGCAGCTTGATCTCTTGACAATAACCAGCCCCGGTAAGTAGGAGCAACTGACTGTTCTGCCACTGTTTCTCCCCATTTCCCAGATTGATGCCTTGCTGCTTATCCAAATGCAATTCCTGCCTTTGACTCTCTGGATGAACAGCACAACTTTTGCACCATGAATGATACTCCTCTTCCCCTGCTCCAGGGATAGTTTTCTTTTGTCCATCCTAGGTCTGTGCTGTCCCCTTCTGACTCTGAAGATGCAGGGCTGATAGATACTCTGGATGTTACTGCATACTCTAGAGTCAAGTTTTCCCAAAATCATTCATTGGATTCAAGTGTCAAAGATGTGTCCTTTCTCCTAACAAATAAGTTTTAAAATCATGAGGAACAGGGAAGCTGCCTGACAGGTATCAGGGAATGAAGGAAGGATGGATCATGAGGAAGATCCAGTCTAATAAAGTGATCAGATTTTGTTGACTGTGCTGAGAGTCAAGATGACTTTGGTCTCTCCCCTTTAGGAGGAGAAAAGACAAGTCCCCAACAAAGCTGTAGAGATGGGGTTACAATTTTTTCCCCTTAGATCTGACATCTAGCCTAGGCAGAGGCTGAGCAGGTTAGTTTTGTCAGAGAAGTATTTTACTGTGATTTGGGAACTGGAGCAAACTTGTAACTGGAGAACAAAAAATATGATTCTCTCTTGGGACCAAGGAGTGAGCATTCTTGTGGGTTCCTCTTCATCCACAAGGTGATAACTGTCCTGGTGACTACCTGATGTGCTAGGTATTAACACTTTGGTTACTGAACTGTGGTAGATGGGGTTCTAGGGGAAGGAGCCAGAAGTGGAACAGAGTGGCCATATGACAGGGTTGGGGGTCACTTCAAAAATGACTATTTTCCAATAAATATAATAGTGTTTCAATATTTTAATTACCAGCACAGCTGAACTATGTCAGCCCTGCCTCCCACCAAACTTGACATGCTGTATCAAAGGACCAGGTGGACTTACAAAGAGATTGAGAAAGTGTTCTCTGTAGGCGCTATCCTAGCACAAAGGCTGGTTTTCTGCTGTATGTAAGTGTACAGGACAGTGACTGCAAATATAAGGTAGATCTACTCAGTTCAGGTGGCCTTGCTATATTTCCATCTAATTAAGTTCTTTGACATAGAGACTTTAAGAATAAATATGAAAATTGTTTGAAACCCATTTACTCTAACTCACAGAATCATATATATATATATATATATGATTTATATAAATTTATATAAATATATATATATTTATATAAATTCCAAATCACATACTGACATAACTGGAGTGTCTCTTTAATGTGATCTATCAATTCCTCCTCACTGAAGTGCTAGTTAGGGATTATTTTTGTCCTATCCTGTTTACTTGCTCTCCTTTTAAATTTCGTCATATTCCACTACACATGTACTGTCCAGGTTATCTGCTTCCACATCCTAGTGTCATATGGCCACACCCTGAGCATTCCATGCTAGATTTTTCTGCTCCTAATTGCTACTGCACAAATTCAAGCAGAGTAGTTGTGAGTCCCAGTGCACTCCTTTTAGACAGCTATGGGATTGCAAAATGCTCAGCACTGCCAGAGTTTGAGTGGTTTATAATTATCCATCCTTTTAGTTGAGAAAAGAATATCTTCTGGGTCAGTGCTTTCCAAAAGGTATGTTGTGGCACATTGGTGTTCTGCAAGAGGGCTACACTTCTGTGCTATTGTGAGATATTGATCCACTCAGCTCTCAGGGGCACAAGTAGACCTGGGGCAGCTGGAGCCCCTCAAGGTGATAGCTCTACTCCTATGGTTTCAGACAAATATTATCATGGGTGCTTCAAAGGTTAGGAAGCACCATTAGACCATCTATTATCTGGATGACTCTATTTCATGTCAAAAGCATTTTCATTAACTGTCTCTCACTATCAAATTCACTCCAGTTCCCCCATATTACCAGAAGCTATAGCAGCTAGCAGTGAGCTTGCTACCTCTCTGGGGCTGTCAATAGGAGGTACTGGTTTATCTATATTTCTCACCAGACCATCATTAACACAGTACTGTAGTCTGAGGCAGCCATTCCTCATGGACTAGGAGGCTTCTGAAATTCTGATTGGAAATGTGGAAGCTTTAACAGTCAGTGTGGTATTTTCTTTAAAATTTATTTTGTTTATTGAAAGTAATTTCAAATGTTCAGAAAAACTAGAAACATAATGATCAGCCATTTACCACCCCTTCCCAGCAACGTGGCTTTACCATGGCAGCGTTGTGCCATCTCTGCTAGAGTCCCTTTTTAAAACAAAATTATAGATATAGTTGAGACTTTCTAGTACTTTTCCCTGATTGCATTTCTCTCCCTACACCCTGCAGGTAACCACTGTCATGTACTCAACATTTATTTATATCTATGTATTAAAATACAACCAGTATTGTTTTGCAAATTCCTAAAAATGACATCAAGCTAAAAATGTCTTTCAGTGGCTTTTCCCCTATGCATTATTATATTGTAGAGATTTATGCACATTGATACACCTGGCTCTGGTTCATGAGTGAATACTGGGATTATAGAAGAGACCAAACGTTCAGGATTGTTCAACATTACTTCTGGTTCCTGAGTCTCTGTTCCTCATTTCCCTAGGCCTGTGATGCACAGCAGCTCTCCACAGAGTTATGCAGCAAACTTTTTTTCTAGGATTTTTTCATGACAAGGGGATTCTTGCTCTAAGCAGAAGCTTTTCTCTGATGGCGCCCTCCTATAGAGTACTTTTAGCCTGCCTCATCAATAGTAATTGCTATATAATATTCCATATATGGTTGTATGATAATTTGTTTATTGATTTTATTAATCATAATTTAATTATTTATGGCTTTCCCCAATTGCAAATAATGCTACTAAGAGCATTTTTGTGAAAGTATCTTTGTATGTAATCAGTATATCTCTAGGGCATATGATAGGAGAGAAATTACTAATTATATACATCTTCAAATTTATTGCATAACGGTCAAAAATTGTTGGCATATTTACACTTCCAACATCAGAGTATCAGAATTTCTATATCCCTGAATCCTCAACACTTAGAATTGTTGGACTTATGAATTTTACCAGTTGAGATTATAATGTGAAATGATATTTTTATTATTTTTCTAATTACTAGTGGGGTTGATTATCTTTTCTGTATATTTATTGGTTGCTGAGGTTTCTTCTGTGAATTGACTTTTCAGACCCTTTGTGTATATTCTACTGGTTTGCTTCTTTTTTATTGATTTGTAGTTTATTATTCTGAATATCAATACTTTACCTCTTACATGCACTGCTAATACCCTCTCCTAGAGTGTGGCTGGTATTTTTTAATTTTGTTTATGATGTATTTTGGTAAATGAAAGGTTATTTATCATTTTAATGTTGTTGAATTCATCAATCTCTTGCTTTATGTGCTTTGCTTTTTTGACTTAAGAAATTCTTCCCAACCTGGAGATAATATTCTTCTACATTCACTTCTAAAGTTTTGGCAAGTTTTGTGTCATATTAGGGCCTTTATTTCGTTCCATTTAGGACTGACATTTGTATATCATATGAGTTAGGAATTTAATTATTTTAAATTTGCATATGAATAACTCATTGTCTCAGCATCATACAGAAACTAGTCCATCCTTTTCTCCACCTATCAGCAATTATACTTCTGTCACATCAATTTCCTATGTGTGGAATCCATTCCTGGGCTCTCTCCACTGGTATGCCATTGACCTACCAGTCAGACTCCTCAAGGACCATAAGACTTTTTCATAATAAATTCCAATTTTAATATTGTCTTTATAATTAACAGGAAGATATCCTTCCCCTTTCCCTTATATTCTTATCTTTTAAAAGCAGCAATTTTATATTTTAAAAATAATATTTCTTAAATATAATAGAATAATCTCTACATTGTGACAAATTTATTCTATTTGTACTTATAATAACTGACATATTTAGATATGTTTCTGAAACCATATTTATGCTGTTTATCATTCATTTTTGTAATTGTGTTCTTTTGCCCTGCCTTTTAAAGTATTGTTTTAGTTTTACATATTGCCTGCACTTCTAGCCTTTAGCTGATTACCTTTGAATATATACTTTAATTATACATTTTCTTACAAAGTCTACAGTTATTCCTGCCAACCAAAAACCAAATAGCTCCATATTTGCTGATGAGAAGCAGGCTTATACCACCATGTTGAACACTGGCTCATCACCACCTAGATGTTCTTGTGTAGACTTTTAAGTTCAAATTTTTTTAAAAAAGGAAAAATAATGTGTTATTATAAGCTAATTGGCTTTTCCTACACAGCTTGTGAGTTTTTGTGTTTTCTGATTTCTTGTAATTCAAATCTTTTCTATGAAATCTTACTAAAGTACTACATCAATACCTATTTTAGTGAGACTCTCTGGGTAATCCTCTTAATTCATGTATGTCCTTATTTTGGCTTCTCTCTGGAATGCCAGTTTGGCTAGGTGTAAGTTCTAATTTGAGGAGGGTTTTCCTTTGAACTTTGAGATTTTTTTCATTGTCTCTTATATCTGTATCTGTATGAGAAGTCTGCCATTATGTAATTGTTTTGGGGGAAACTATTTTTTTCATAAGTATGTTTCAAGATTATGTTTAATCTTAATGTTCTGCCTTTTCACTTTCATAAGCCTGGGTGTAAATTCATTTTTATTTATATTGTTTGGTACTCTGAATATAATTGCCACCTAAGAATCTTATGTTTGGGGAAATTATTGGCAAATTATCTTTTTAAATATTGACTTTCCCACATTCCTTTGATTCTTTGCTTTGATAATTCTAATTAGAAAAATGTTAGATTTTGTCAAGCAATTTTTCATGTTTATTAACTGATTTTTAATAACTTTTGTTCATTTTGTCTTACTGCACTCATTCTGGGTTTCTCCCAAGTAATTTGCCTGCACAGATTGACTTTTTTGACCATGTCTACTCTAGATTTTTTCTGTCTTTTTCAATATTTCAATCACTATATATTTTTCATTTCCAAGATTTCTAA